TTACGAGAGAATGTTTGTGCGAATAACTTTGAAAATGTTGAGGAATTTGCCTCGCACCATGTAAAAAAAAATGCATTGAAATTTGCACAAAAATCCGCACAACCGTTCTCATAAGAAAAAAACTTATTGCCCAATTAAATTTGGCAATAGCTGACGTGGTTCCTTTCTGCCCAACGCGGTGCGATTATTTTTGAAATTTGTGGTACGTCTTGGCTTTGCCTTGATAAGTGAGGCCCAGGATAAGAAAATTGATTTAAGCATGGCACTCGGGTGCAAAATCCTGTTATTCCAAAAGAATCCAGACTAGAATAGAAAATAATCCTGAGTTAAGTATCGTCGCGGGACTTTTTCATGAAAAGCAGGAAAAATCAGGAGTTTATCAGGGAATGAAAATAATCGAGAATGCTCTATAGACAAGGCGCTGCTCTAGTATCCTAAACAAGTACGTCTCAAGCCGTTGGGTTCATTTTCGAGGCAATATATTACGTAAAGTTGCATTATAATCCGACAGGTTTGTCTCCGTAACACAGTAGATTAGAGTTTCAATTTACTTTGCTCTAAAGCCACGTTCTTTGAACCCCATTCTTCAGACCGCCATAAACCCGTTAAGGATGTAAATTTTTGAGCGTCTCTTGTCCTGCAATTCGTAGAACACCCTTTTACCCTCCAGATACTCAACTTCAAGTACTCGTGGACTAAGGTCACACTTAGCATCAGTATTGTTTACTGATTAAAATGTTGGAGTTAATACCGTTGAGTTCTAATGGAGTTAGTGAGAATCACATACTTTCTTAATTTTAACTCAGAGTGTAGTTTACGAACCAACTCAGTCCTAGTAAAACCGGGAAACTATCTCGTTACTATTAAATATGGTCTTAAAACGTAGGGTAAGATTGGCCCGAGGTTTTAGGCGGTTACATCCTTTAAACCAATAGGATGAAAGCCTAACCCAAATCTTTAACAATGCGCCGGATACATGGACTGCATCTTCCAATAAGGAACTACTATTTCTAGCTCATTAATACAAACACCTATCCGAATACTGGATCTAATGGCACAAATGTTGTTTATAAAGTGAGTCAGAAATAGTAGTTACTTATCGGAAAGTGTGCACTGAAAAAAAAGATTGGGAGAATTTACCATTCATTCACGCTGTTTTTCACACAGCGTGAAGGAATGGTAAATTCTACCAATCTTCAAGTCGATTCTGCCAAAGGAATGGTTACCTGTACCAGTATATAGTAACGTTTACCTTTCTCCTGGCAGAACTGACTCTGAATCGACGCTGTGAGAAATACAGCGTGAAGGAATGATGAATTCTACCAATATTTTTTTTCAGTGTGGTCTATATATTAGTGATTCCCAAAGCGCCATATAAACTTGATATTTAGCCAAGCTGGCATTGATGGTGGATGCCAGTGCAGCGGAGATAGTGAGCTTTCGGGGGCGAGTCTGCTGCTGACGTAGGGATATTTTCGAGGCGAAGTTGCCAGATCGTCATCTAAAACCTTCGTTTTTCACGTACCCTCGACGTGGGATTTTGGCACGATTCGTTGCGGACGGAAGGTGCAACGCCATGCACACGTGCTGTTCAGCCTGACGAGTGCTCGATGCTCGATTATGTGGACGCATTTATGCTAAAAGGAACTATGTCGTGCGCAAAGCCTATGCACATAGTTCCTTTTAGCATAAATACGCCCATGTGAAAATCAACAAGTATGGCTGAGCCAGTGATTAATTATAGAAAAAGCGGCTTCTGTTCCGACATCCTGCTTGCATAGCCTGCCCCCGTTCGCACCTCATTACGTCACGCTACCTTTTCACGTGAGCCCCCTTTCACATATAATTACATGCTTTCTAGGGCTCACACGTTTCTAGAGATACGTTGTTACGTTACAAGGGCGGCGATTTAAGTAGAACTACGTCGACTCTTTCCGCTGCGAGCGGACTGTTTCAACCGACATGAGCAGGTGTCGAATCCTGGGTGTTCCATTCATCTGACGGCTAATCAATTCGCGAAAGATTCCTGAAAAAAATTCGCACTTCCATTAGCGCTCATTTAAATAGTCTCGCGGCGCACACTGAAACGATCTAATGGAAGGAGTCGGACCTTAAATTTTTGGCTCAAACTTCAAATTTTGATTTTGATTTCGTCACGAATTCATTCAAGGGGTGTGCCTGAAAGACGATGTCACGGAGAAGCCAATAGAACAACTCTTAAACTGTTTCGTCTTACGTTTTTGGAAATATAAGCTTCCGAAGTTTTCAGACTTTGTCCGATTCCTCATATTGATTCGGTCCAGTGTGCGTCGGTTCTTTCCGCATTTGCAGGTTGTTTCGGCCGTCAGGAGCAAACGTTGTACCGTGTTCGGTGTGTATTTGATCGAGCTAATGGCTTATCAATATGCAAAAAATTTCAGAAAAAAATCGAACATCCATTAGTGTTCATTTAAGTGCTCTCGCGTGGGTTCCCTAGCCCTTATATACTATTTCAGTCGTCAAGCACAGATGTCGAATCACGTACATTCCATCGATCTCGTGTTGAATAAATTGGCAAAGAATGGACTAGTAGAAAAGGTTTGAGTTGGAGCATTCTGATATATGTTTCTGAAGCAATTTCATGTTGAACACGATTTGCCCGACGAAAATTACTTAAATTAACTTCCAACTAAGATATGAACGTGTTTAGTTTACATTGATCACGGGAAATTTGAATTTCCCGCGCAACGAGAAAAATAATTTTTCGTATTCGATAGTGGCTCGATGTCATTTGGTTCAAAACATTAGAACGTAATCTCAAACAAAAATCTTAGGATTTAAGGCGGAAAAGCTAAAAATGAGAAAATTGGGAAACAAAAATGAATGAAGGAGGGAAAAAAATCAAGAAGCAAGCAATCATTGCTTTTGGTTAAAAGCAAAGATTGCGTGCTTCTTGATTTTTTTTACGTTCATTTGTACATTTTGAGTCAAATACGTGCACTTTGGAGCGCTTCGTCGCGCAAACATCACGCTGCCGCACTGCAAAAGCACAAAATATAGAAGAAAAAATTATTGTGCTATAGAAATCATTAAATTTGACACGGCACCACCTTAATATTTACGCAACAAACACTATGTTTTCCTCTAATATATAATGTTCCCTCCATCAATTTATATGAGAATAATCTATGCAGGGTGTGCAAAATTCCAAAATCATGAGTTGATAAACGCTGACTCGGCGAGTTTAAATGTTAGAGCCTGACACAGAGCGGAGCAGCGTGCTACCGGCACGATACGCGCACTGGCGCCTACAAACCTAAGGGGATACCTCACGCAATGCGCAACGTTTGAAGTATCCCCTTAGGTTTGTAGGCGCTAGTGCGCGTTACGCCGGTTGCGCGCAGATCGGCCTCCCAAGCAACTATTCACAACACGTAATCCACCAATATAAGTCCCTCAATGCACCATTCCCCTCCCATCAAGAAAGAAAAATCGCAGAAAAATTACTGCTTCCTAATGCAATAAATTTCAGTTGAAAGGCAAATGTTATGAAGACAACATAAGTGAGGAATGATCCGCTGGTGGCATTGTTCGTGAGTGGTTCTCTAGGGCGGTGGCTCCAAAACTCTGGTTCTGGTCCACAGGTCGACTTACGGGATTTCAAAGAACGGGAAACAGTAGAGAATCAGCGAAGAGGGGAACAAAATTAAGAAATATCAGGAACGTTGAGAGAAGAATAATAAATGAAAATATGACCTTATTGGAAACAAAGTGAGCAACATTTGGAGAGATGTAAGTACCTTCACAATCGTATATTCGAAACTTCGCGTTCAAAACGGAGAAAAAGTAATCATGTCTTACGATTTGACTTTTATCTTTTTATTCTGTTCTATTAAGTTGAGATGATCACGACGTGAAAGTCAGCAACATAATGTTTTGATTATTTTCAATTATTGCGAATGCAAGGGAAAACTGCAGAAAAAACGTCGAGAGAAAGCGTTCACCAAAATGAAAATTGAATATCGAAAGTGGTTCTGAAGTTCGCCTTTGGAGCCGCAACGGGAGCGCACTAAAAAACTTATAGTTGGCGTTTTTCTCCAATTATTCTGTGATTAAATAGCATGCTTCGCATCATTTTTTGTGAAATGGATCACTAGACAAGGTAAGGATCAAAATATCACATAATGAATTCCCTTTTAAACATTCCTTGCACATGCCATAAAAAAATCCCGATGTAAAACCAATTCGCACGTAAGAGTTGAGCGTCATCGCTAACATTTAAATTAGTTGATTCATAATTCTAACGCAGAGAAAAAGTACCCGAACCGCAGTGAAAAAATCTGCTGTTGAAAATGAAAGTATGATCATTCCACGAATAATAATCTGAATTCAGTCTCAAAATCATTCCCTCCTTCCTTTGATGCATGTAACTCGTGAGATTGCTATGATAAATTCAGTAGGCTGAGAGAGCTATTCAATCGTAGTTATGCAAGCGTACTATGTTTATATTTTAAAAACACAAAACTTTTGATAAAAATATGTACTTGTACTATCATATTCACTCGCGTAAGTATGAATTTTGCGTCAGTATGAGAGTAATATGGAGTCGCGGTCGAAACGCGTCCCTTAATTTTTAAACAAATATTTACGCAAGTGAGTACGTTAGTGTTGATCAAAGTTTTTGTGTTTTTTAAAAATGTAGAACTTGTAATGGTAACTGTGTTCCGTAGTGAAGTTGACTATAGGTTATCGGAGAGCGAGAAATTTTTTATGACCAATACAAAAAACGGAAGTTTTTCACATATTCTGAACTTTCTTAGCGTTTCCATCGTTTTGTGCTTGAACTTATGATGAGAAAATACGTATCAAAAAGCTTGGTCTCAAAGGCTGTCTAGTGATCCATTTCATTCGAGATCCATCTCTCCTTCCTCATTCATTTATCAGCGCTCCATTTCTCACACTTTGTTCTATTCACGTTTCCATTTCCGTATAATAACATGGCATTTGGTTGTCTTTTGCAGATGAGTCAGCGAGAAGTGAGTATAGCACTACATTTCGGTTGCAACCCAACCCCCCTCTTTCTTTCTTTGCCCCCTTTTGGGTTGTCTTGAGTATAGTTACCCCGCGCACGCCTCCCCCTCTCTTCGCCTGCTCTTCCCCCGCTGATTTTTCAAAATTTTTACATTCATAGTTTTTATAATAGAATTTCTGACTCAGAGTAAATCTTGAAGATTCGCTTGTGATTTTTCGCATTTTTTCAAGTTGTTCGCAACTTGATTGCATTCAGCAGGGTGCAATATGCTCCAAAATTTGAATTACAAGGGACTGATGAAATCGGGTCAATATTTAGAAAAAAAGCTACCTCAATCGGTAAAAGTAAGTCTCTTAAAATTACTGAGAGTACGGTTATACCACTTGGGAAACTATAAAATTACTGGGAAGGCACTACTACCGGATAACGGCAAAATTGATTACGGTAATCACTGAAAACTTTCGGTATGTTCACCAGTTCTATTTTGTTTCCCTGGCGAAGTATTTGTTCAGCATAGTTTTGACATCGAATACTTAGGATGTGGGTCAAAAATACTTTATTAATAGATGCGGAAATTTTTTTCCCAAAATATGGTCTTCCAAAGTACCGATTTGATTGCTACTACATTTCGATGGTGAAACTGCAGAAATGCGTTATTGTGGCGTTGCAGACTTCTTGTCATACTTTATATTTTACATGAAAAACCACTGGACGTCATTTTTTTAAAACAACGGTGATTTTTCTTCTTTATTTGAGGAGCATACTGTGAAAATTTGAAGCCATGATGTTGGTTCAGTCTCCTTTCAAATACATATGGGCGGCCATTTTGAACCGTTTTTTTAGATTCGCGTTTTTGCAGTTTCATCATCGATTTTTTGTGCCTCACTCTCGCTCTCTCTCTTTATCTCTTTCTATTTTCATGCGTGTTTTCTCTTACCCCTCTCATCATTATTCTTTCTAAATTTATCTGACTTTAGATTTCCACAGCTTTTCTACATTTGAACAATGTGTGCATCAATTCATCTTATCTGCCATCTTCTCTCTCTCTCTTCAACCCCCTCGCTGCTCGCCCGGAGTCATGCATTATTTTATGCTTCATTTTTTAGTTTATCGTTCAACTTCGTAGAATATCTAGATCCGTAGGTTCATTTTCTCTCAAGTGGAAATTAAAAACTTCAATGGGTGATACACGATCTAAAGAAAAGGGTTTCACCCTTAATTCTGATTCCGATCTCAGAACCAACAGGAAGCTTTCGATGCAATTATCTCAATCAAAGCGCCCCCCCCTTTTTTTTTCAAGAATTTTCCATTGGTTTAGATTTCAGCTCACTGTCCACGGATAGCTGGCTGGAAATTAAAAGCTCGTGCGTTCATATTTAATGAGGTAGAGTTTTTCTTAACGTTAATTTTTCATTTAAAATAAACTTTCGATTGAAATAATGAAATATACTTCAGGAACAAGAAACCGATGCAGTGCATTTAGAGATTGCGGGTTTTCTCCATCATTAATGAATAACGATATTTTTGGTATCTGAATTTATGAATTAATTATTAGAGTAGAAATGAAATCAATTACTATTCGCTGTCAATTAGTTTGTATGAATTTATGCATTAGCTCCCCTTGAATGAGAATAAATTTTCAATGATGGTTTTTTTCATCTTTTGGGCTCAAAATCTATCTTCATCGTGTCAGAGTTGCCATTTTTATGTACAACTTTCGTCGCTCATTACTTAACCAGTAGAAGGGGACGGCAACTAAGGGGGGAAAAAATTTAAAATTTTGCTCAGTTGATATTACCTTTTAGTGGTAAAGAATTGAGAATATCCACCAATGGGCAGTATTTTTGTCCTAGCAGTCAATTGAATTTCGTTTGGACGCTTTCCAGTGTTGTCGAGTTTAGACTTTGTCCGGAGGTGGCTACCGCCACCCATGATGAACTTATCTATGTTGTGCATTTGTCTACATACCAGAGACCACTGAATGACAGGCAGGTCATGGAGAAATGTAAATTGACAGCTTTTCTTCGAAATCTTTTTTTTTGTCCATTTTTACTTCTTACTTTCACAGGCGGTAATGAGTCGACTTCATGGCTTACAAGTGGACGTATTTATGATAGTGATTTATATTAAAATGAATAACATCAAAAACAATTAAGATGAATACAAAGCCTACGCACATGCTTCCTTTTAACTTATTTAATTGTCATTTAGTTCATTTTCGCATAAATCTTCGTTCCCTCACAAAAAAACGTAACTATATTTCAATGTTGCCAAATCTCTTCTCTCAAATCGTATTTTTAGCAGGAGAATCTTGGACTTTTTAATTGAAGTTTCAATGATTTTTCTCTTATTCTCAGGAAAAAATTGAACAAATTATAAACACAAATTTCACAGGTTTGCTCTTGCAAAAAACCGAATCGTTTAAACCAAATTTTGGAACCTTGGAATAGAGTTACGTTCTTTCCTCCAGAAAACGATGAAATTTTTCCAATTTTTTCTCAATACTCTTCATCATCCCAAGAGAAGAACTATTTCTGGATCATTTAAGGAAGCGCCCTTCTGCATAAATAAATTGATAATTGCATGTAAATCATTCTTAAAATGAGCCAGAAATTATTAGTTCCTTACCGCAAAATGTAGTCAGTTTTTCCGAGCGCGCCGCGCCTCAACCGAAACAGTCGAAGGGGGGTACGGAGCAAGGGGGAGGCTGAAAAAACTCCCCATGAACAAATTCACGAGCTGCAGCGCAAAAGTTCAGCATCCGTCCAACCTCTTTTTAGAAACTTTAATTGCAACTGCGAGTCTTGAAACATTCCGGATCGGATCCTTTCGGGACAAGTAGCTCGATTATACTCACGCGACCGGCTGAGCATTGAGGTGGGCTCTTGGAGGAGGAACAAGGAGGGGGTATAGGAGAAGGGGGCCGATTTCGCGAATGAAGTTTATTTAAAATCAATAGCCACTTCCCACCCTGGCGCGGTGGTCGGAAGTTAATCGCCGTCCGCAATATTTGACGAGTAATTTAGGGTGATTAGACTCGGTTTGCGAGACCTCCACTGCGCTCTCCTTAATCGGTCCAGTGGCGAGGCGTAAATGGTCAATTTTTTCGATAATTCGTTAGGTTAAGCAACTAAACTAACTTCCCGGCAAAGCGAAAAGTATCATTTGGATTTGAAAGCGCTTTAAGCCGAGATCGTGCTTCTAAAGTTTCGTATTAATTAGAACTTTCCTATGTTGACGAGGATTAATGTGATTTTACGTTTTCCACATTTTTCACTAAATTTGACAACGATCAGGCCATCGTGCAAAAAATCGGTAGCCGATTCAGAAAATTGCGAGCGTATCGACCAGGTTGGCGTAGTGGTTAACACGTCCGAATCTACGTCAGCAGATCCTAGGTTCGAATCTCGGCGTTTGCGACAAATGTTTACGGCACTGAAGAGTGGATCTCTTGAAGTAGACTCCACTTAGCTGGCTTTAATCCTTGAAAATTTGAAAGGCCTAGAGTAGGGGTCTGTTAATCGTCCAGATTCCTATCGAAGGTTGAAGCCTCCAACGGAATATAACCCAAATAACCACGAAAGAAATACATATAAATTGATAAATAAATGAAATAAAGAGTTCAAACATTTGGAAGAATTTGAGCTCGAATTCGTCGTTACCTAGTTAAAATAACGTAACTTCACTTCCCCGTACTATAACATCTACTCTCAAATTTTTTTTTTTTTTTTTTTTTTTTTTTTTTTTTTTTTTTTTTAATGGGAGAATGTTGGATGTGCCCTACTAAAAATGTTATAATTTTTGGTTCCGACCACAGCAAAAACCAAATTACACAGCCGTGCTCTGGTATAAACTGGATTGTTTTTAGATAACTTTGCAACCTTGGAATGAAGTTTTGTGCCCTCCTCTGGAAAAGGCCAAATTCGGCAACGTCTGACGTAGTCAGGCCGATTCTGGTTGATCCCATCTGATTACTGCCTAACTTCCTCCGGTGAAAAAACAATACCATTCGCGTACCGCAAAAAATGGACTCAAAATCCTATTTTCCACCAAAACTTACGGAAACAAAAACACTTGCTACTCCTTTTCACTCCATCCAACATAACGTGACCAGGGCTCTCCCTCCGTAAGTTCCGTAAGCGGCCTGAAAGTTTTTTTACGAGCGCAACCGTACTCTCACGTTCGCGTTGGTCCATTCGCCCGAACGGGCTATCTTAGCAGCTCCCCTCATGGACCCCATGTCCATCCCCCCACCCTTCCCATGCTTAACTCCGCAGCGCGTCTCTATCCGTCTACTTTTCCTCCCCTTTTTAGGGGAAGCTTGACTAATAGCGGATGCTGCCCTTCGAAGCGTTCAACTCGGAGAAGCGTGCACGAGTCCTGTTTATCGTGCATTCAACTCAAGACGTCGCTCCACCGACTCCGAGACGTAACCGCCCGACGAGATGAGCCCCGGGGCCCGTACGACACCACGCTCGCCATGGCTCACGCCGGAAGGCACCCGCGCCGGCGGAAAGGAAGGAAAACTGACGGAATCCCGACAGAACATGTGATAAATCTGAAAACCATAGCTATTTCTTCCCCGCTATTTATTCATTCTCTCTCCTCCCGCTTCTGTAATCTTCAATCTTCGCCATTAACAACAAAAGAAAGCGAGGGCCGAGCGCCGGGGGAAGTGGGGGGGGGGGGGGGGGTGATCCCATGCGTGAAGATTTGTATTCCGTGCCAAAACTCCAGGAGACTCCTCCGTTGGTAATGACGCTTATCAGTTACCCCCCCCCCCTCCTCCCCAGGCCCCCTGCGCCCCCCGCTCTCCCCGGCTCGCCGACGAATAAATATCTATTTTTTGAGTCGCGGATGTGTGTGTTGGCCGTTTCGCTCCGGGCCCGGGGGCCGCATTGTTTCAGTTGACAATCCTCGTGAAAAATCGGTTTCGGAAGCCGGGAATTTGCGAGGGACTCGGGAGGTATCCATTTTTATTTTGTTTATCATTATCCCTCCCCC